TTCAAGGCTATGGATCGAGCTCATCGATTAGGTCAAACAAAACAAGTAACTGTTTATAGACTTGTTACAAAAGGAACAGTTGAAGAGAAAATTTTAAACCGAGCCAGAGAGAAAAGTGAGGTAACTATTTTCATGAAAATATTTTTGCTTACCAAAATTATTTAAATTAAAAACTAGTTTAGAACTTTTTAAAAAGTGCTTCTTTACACTTAACTTTTTTTTTGTTTTAGATTCAAAACATCGTTATTTCTGGTGGTCAGTTTAATAAAGAAGTACTGAAGCCAAAAGAAGTTGCTTCACTGTTATTAGATGACATTGAACTTGCTGCCAAATGTTAGCTATTAAAAATCCTGCATGCTTAAATTTACTTCATTAAGATATTTTAAAAGTTAAATTAAGTATTTTATTCTTTTTCTTAATTTAGTAAAGCAGCGTCAATTTGAAAAGAAAGTTTCAGAAGAAAATGGAAAAAGATTCGGAAGAAAGCGAAAACAAGTTGAACTTGATTTTAAAGTATATGCTCTTTAATAAATTGCTTGCTTAATAAATTGTATGATTTATGTAATAAATTGTATGATTTATGTAATAAATTGTATGATTTATGTAATAAATTGTATGATTTATGTAATAGTAAATGATTTATCTTCATAACAATTCCAGTGACGAATTTCAAGTCAAATTTTTTAGGTGAATAAAAGAAGTATGTTTTTCTAGCACATCTGGGTTTAATCTAATTAAAGTTTATAAAATGAAAAAAATTTTAATAGATAAAAAATTTTAGTTTTAACATTATTTATTTTATTTTATTATTTTTAGGACGTAAGTGAGAATTCTTGTCAGTTTGATGTTGATGAAAATAGCATTTCAAGTATTGAGCTTGGTAAATAATATTTTAATTTTTTTTTTTTTTTTTTTGAATGCTTTGAAATTTGTTATGTTTTTTTTTTCTCTTGTTACGCTATTCTGTTGCGATGACCATTTAATTTTTTTATTCTATTCACTTTTTACAATTTTAATTAAGTGCAAATAAATATTTTAATAAATAAAAAATGTACAGTAGTGTAAAAAAATAATAGATACATTATTCACAATAATTCTTGAATTATTCACAGTAATTCTTGATAATTGCTAATATTTATTTCATATATATAAAATTTAATGTTAATACTTATATCTTTTAAAAAATTATTAAGGCCTGTTATATTTTTCTTATGTAAACAACAATTTTGTTTAAAGTAGCTAAGAATTAACTGGAAAAAATAATAAATATAGAAATGGCTAATTTGATTTTATATTGAAAAAAATCAAGAATATTTAATGTTTATGTAACTTTTTTTGATTATTATTAAAAGGTTTACCTATCATACAGTATCTATGATATCTACATTATCTACTACAATTCATGAAGATTTTTTCACGTCTTTTTTTTTATTTGAATTAAATAATGCACCATGATGTTTTCACAGACTTAAACAGATTTTTTTGGGTTCTGGCGCTTTTTACTACCTCGTCTTTAACAATTTTCCACAAATTTTCTATTTGATTTAAATCTTGCGATTGTGCTTGTCAATCTAATTGTCTAATAAAATTATTTTGGAACCATCTCTTTTACAATACTATGTGAAGCCAAATGTTTTAAATCCTTATTTTGTTGAAATATCCAAAAAAATAGCATATCCTCAGCATAAGGTAGCATTATTTCTTTAAGTATATTAACAAAAATATCAGCTGTCATAGTGTCTGTTATTAAGTTATTAGAACCAATACAAAATAAAGAGATAACACCCCCACTCTAAGATGCTTTCACCACCAAGTTTCACTGTTTTTCTAATACTAATTGTATGTAAGGTTACATTTAACTCAATTTTTTTTTCAATGGTGTTGCTGGAGATTAAACTTTAAAATCGATCCTTTTTAGCTCCACTTTAAATAATTAACTGAAATATTAATTTTATAATTCAGTTAATTATTTAAAAACTGTAAATAATTAACTGAACATTCTATTGATCAGCTGAAACAGGAAATACTCAGAAACCAAAATAACCCAAAATTTTGGGTACACTAGTTCGATATCGAAACCAAAACCGACATTTTGACAAATATTTTGCTGAAACTAACTGAAACTAATGGGTGGCCACTGGTCATGAAAATCATGGAAATGTCATGGAATTCCTAAATTTTCTTGCTATATTTATAGGATGCAAAAAAAAGTACTAGAATGTCTAGTCTAAGTCCTTTTTGAAAAAGATATTTTTGCAGTGTAAGTTATAAGAGAAGTAAAAATCAGAACTTTCTACCAATTAGTTTTTGGTTTACATGTTTTATAATGACCAAGTTTCAAATGCTTAGTGCATGGCATGTTTCAAATGCTTAATGCATGACAAGTTTCAAATGCTTAGTGTATGACAAGTTTCAAATGCTTAGTGCATGACAAGTTTCAAATGCTTAGTACATGACAAGTTTCAAATGCTTAGTACATGACAAGTTTCAAATGCTTAGTACATGACAAGTTTCAAATGCTTAGTACATGACAAGTTTCAAATGCTTAGTACATGACAAGTTTCAAATGCTTAGTGCATGACAAGTTGCAAATGCTTAGTACATGACAAGTGTAATTGCGTACTAAAGTGTAAATGCTTAGTGTATGACAAGTGTAATTGCATAGTAAAGTGTAAATGCTTAGTGTATGACAAGTGTAATTGCGTAGTAAAGTGTAAATGCTTAGTGTATGACAAGTGTAATTGCGTAGTAAAGTGTAAATGCTTAGTGACAAGTACTGAATATTTTACTCTAGTGATTTATCATAAAAGTTTATGAAGAGTCAGGGAAAATATCATATAAAAGTCATGGAATTTTGTTTTAAAATTTGAGTGGCCACCCTGTAATAGCAAATTTTCAGCTTAACAAAACTAATTTCATTTGGAAATGTAATCTAAAAAATGCAATTTTACATTTGTTGTTTATTTAAATTTGTGGTATTTAAACTGACAAAATTAAGGTTAGATTATCACAAAACACATTAATTTAATGGTGGAAACTAATTAAAATTAAAAAAACACAAATTAAAAGACTAAAATTTTTTTTTAACATTCTTAATGTTTTTATTTTTTTACTGTGTATATCATACTTGTACCGTTTTTTTGAGATCAGATCTTTTTGGTTCTGATATTTTTTTTTCATTTTTTTTTTCTTTTTTTTTTCATTTTTTTTTTTTTTTATTACATAAAGTTACTTTTTTTAATGTTGATGTTGGATGCCATTATACCCTACACATAGTTTTAAACTGTTGCAATTTAAAGCTTTATAGTATTTTAAAGCAATTTAAAAAAACAATTTTTTTTTTTTTTGTACAAAAAAAAAGTAAAGAAATTTACTTTTTTTTGTGCAAATAAATGAAAGTGCGCAATTCAAAATCTGTAACATTGTAACAAAGGAGGCTGCACAAGTGTTATGCGAAAGCAAAAAATAGAATTGCCATTATTACATCCTACAAGAACAGTTCAAATTTCATTCCAAAAAGATATCAAATATTTTCTACAATCAAAAGATACTAACAAATCTCATTGCAATTGATGGACTTTCATTTTACACACTTGTATAAGTAAAAGGTTATGAGAATTTACTTTAGCCAAAGGACAAAAAATACCTTCTAGTTCAATTTCAAATATTTTACTAGATCATGCTAAAGACATTAAGACTCAATTAATAGCTAAATTAAATAACATGAAAGCTAACAATTTCAGATTCAGCTTAACTGTTGAAGAATATACATTAACTAATACACGTCGTTATAAGAATATTAATGCATACACAAATGGAAGCTATGATGATTTTTCAATTTTTAAAAAAAATTTGCACAATAAAATTGTTTAAAAAATCACCTGTTAAAAATGACGATATATTGCAAAAGCATCTAAAATCAGAATTAGGACATAACTTGAACCTATTTCAGACTGCAAGACAATTTGGAACTTATTATTTGATATGTTTGAACGCTTTGCCAAGCAAATGTATTAAAATGGCTCTTATCCAAATGCAGTCTCCTATAACAATATCAGACTCAGAGCTGCTAGTTCTTAAAAAAGTTAAGGCTTTAAAGCCTGTAAAATTAGGAGCCGAAGCACTTTGCCGTCGAGACTCAAATTTGCTTACATCAGAAAAAGTTTTGTTTTTTTTAATTCAACTACATTCATATGAATTTGACATGAGCAAAAACTTATATCATGCTATAAAAACAAGAGTTTTTAGCATAAGAAATCCTAATTTGATTCACCTCATGGAATATTTAAACAATCCTAGTTTTCTATTATCTGGTACTTTAGATACTTTTCAAGTTAGACCAAAAAAATCAGCAGTTAGCTGATTATCGTTAGCTAAAGACTTTTTACTAAGACTTTTATCTCAAGCAAGAGGATTTTTATTGTTGATTTTGAGAACCAAGTAGAAGAAAATCTTGGTATAAAAATACAGCTAGAAAAAGCTATACAAAGTGCTTGGCTGAAGCAAGAATTAAATAATGAAGATCTCATAAAATCTCTAAAAGAATTTTGTCTTTGAGTCAATAAAAAAAAACCTACTTCTAATTGGGAGACTATTTCAGTGTTTAAAAACTATCCAGCCAACATCTGTTGATAGTGAAAGAGCTTTTAGTGCATGCGGATTGTTTGTAACCAAACTAAGGAGTAGCTTATATGATAACACTATTGATACGTTATGCTTTTTACATTTACACTTTTACATTTTTTACAAGTTACTACAAAAATAATAAAAGTGATAAAAATTGAAACTAAAATAGGTTTTTTGATATGAAATGCTACAAATATTTTGTTTCACAAAATTGACTGGTTATATATTTTTTCAAAATTAATAAAAGTTTCTTGTATAAAATTTTTTTTTTTTTTTTTTTTTAAGATAAAATTGGATCCGGATCTAAATCTTAAAATCCGGGTAGGACCCGGATCTAACTATTTTACCAGATCCGTTATGCCCTCTTCACTAACAGTCGTGGCCAAAAGTTTGGAATCGCCCAATATTTTTCAACAAAAACCATGTTTTTTCTAATTTATTGCATACAAATAAAGATAGTATAGCACCAATTCATATAATACTGCATATTAGACTAGAGTATATAGCACCTACAATGTTGAACAAATCTAACAATATAAAAAGTTTAATTTTTAATATTTTAATATTTAATATTTGGTAAAATTTAATATTTGGTAGGATAACCGCGGTTCTTTAATACAGCCGCAATTCGACGTGGCATGCTCCAAACAAGTTTCTTGCACAGTTCTGGTGTTATCTCTTTTGTCCAAACTTCCACTAGCTTTCTCTGTAAAACTTCAATATTCTGTGGCACCTTTCTTCTCACTTTACGCTTCAGTATGGTCCACAAATTCTTTAGGGTTAAGATCGGGGTTGTTACCCGGCCAGTCGAGAACGGATACCTTGTTTTTCTTGAAGAAGGCTTGCATCACTTTGGAAGTGTGGCGTCGAGCATTGTCTTGCTGAAATATGGTTCATTGTGACTCTATGCTTTGGAGCAGCTTTTCCTGTAGAATTCCCTGATAAATCTGGGAATTTACTCTCTGCCCTTTCGGTACAAAATGTAACCGGCCGCGAAATCGAGCTGAGAAGCAACCCCACACCATTATTGACGGTGGATGTTTTACAGTAGGCACAGTGTACTTTTGAACATACCTGGATCCTTGTGGTCTTCCAACATAATTACATGATGTCCCAAATTGTTCAAATGTGCTTTCGTCAGAAAACATTACTTTCTCCCAGTCCTTCTCCTTCCAATGTTTGTGCTTTTTGCAGAAGTCCAACCTCCTCTTGCGTTGAGTGTCATTCAAAGCTGGCTTCTTGGCAGGTTGTCGAGCAGGACGCTTCAGATCAATCTGCAGCACACGTGTGATCGTTCTTGTGCTTGGTAGACTTGCTTCAGCATTTCCAGGACTCAAATCATCCAGAATCCCATATGATGACAGCTTGGGATTATTCTCCACAATAAACTTGATGCGTCTTGTCAACCTTTCAGTCACTTTTTTTGGTCTGCCACTTCTTCCACGTGACGAAAATGTTCCACATTGTCGAATTCTACTTAATGTCTTACTAACACAAGATTGTGATACATTTACAATTTTTGCAATATCTCTAGTTGAATTTTTTTTTTGAGCTAATATAAGAATTTGACCTCTAATAACTTCTGTTAATTCCTTCTTTTTTCCCATTAAAATGATCAAAAAATGTAATTAAAACTGCTGCTTAGCTACCACAAATGGTTTAACTAAATACCGGAACAAAGACAACTAAATAGAATTAATATTTCTGACCAAGGTTCGACAAAAACACAAAAAAATGAAAAGTTCACATGTGATTCTAAACTTTTGGCCACGACTGTATTATCCTTGTTCATTTACTACTTAAACTATTTAAACAATATTTGTTTTCTTTAAACAACGTTATCAGTGCAAGATTTAAATTGTTATCAGTGCAAGATTTAAATGTTTTAATTATTTGCGGTTTTGATACTTTTAAGAAGTAGATGAATATATAAATATATGAATATATTTACTAACTAAAAGTTAGGTTATTTGTGAACGATAGGCCTAAAGAAATGAAATTTCGGTTTTTAGTATGTTTTTCAACCAAAATTTTGTTTCCTATTGAATTTGTATTAGGTATCGGTTCAAATGGAAATTTTGGCCGAAACCGAAACAGAATTTTGTCGGTTACTTAAACATACCATGTTTCAAAATATGCAGTATAATATTAGTCAGTGGCGTAGGAAGGTCGTAGCAGTTAACAGTTAGAAGGTCATAACAGTTATTGAAGTAGCCAGGATTAGGGGCTTGAAAGGGAGGATTATCAGTGCTACTGATAATCAGAGCCAATGCACATATTCAAATAGTAATAACAGTTTAAAATTTAATAGAAAATATAACCTTTTCTGTATTTATAATTTTTTCCACTAAATTTCTAACGACTTAAAACATAGTTGTTAGTTAAATAAAAAAAAATCGAAAAGACAATTTTTTGAAAAACTTTATAAAAACTAAAAAAAAGTAATATCAATTAACATCAATTGCTGTGAATAAAACTAAACGTGTAGGTCTTTTTTTTTTTTTTTTAATTTATTATAAACATTTTAATAGTTTTATTTACGATTGATAACAGGAATCGATGACGAATCGGCTGATTCTTCTCGTCCTTCATCTGCGGTACCGTTTGAAAATTCTGTTAATTTGTTACCACCATCTTCAAAAAGAGGTAGAGGTAGAGGCATTCCTAGGTCAGGAAGATGGAAACCAAAAACTGGGAGTTTGGCTAAAGCTGCTGCTTCTGCTGCAGCTATGGCTGGTGTTGCAGCCGGGTCAGCTGCTGCTTATGCTGCATACGGTTATACAATTCAAACCATAACTAAAGAATGATTGTTTGTTTCGAAAATGTAAATTATATAAATATAAAATTTTAAAATGCAAATATTAATTAACGTGTCGCTTCAATTTTTTTTCCTGACTTAGACATACTCGATGTTGTAATTAGTTTTAAGCATAAACACTAAAAGCACGAACAAAAGTTTTGATTATCTAAAATTGATGTTATATAAATTAAGTTTTAATTTAGTGTCATCTGTCTCACAGAAACTTGATGTCAGAGTGGAGATGTAATTATTTATATTTTTCAATTACGGATTATACCAAAGTAGAAAGTAAAACTAAAGTAAAGATCTTTTTCTGCGCTCAAGCAATGTAAAAAAAAGTTTAAAGTCTTTTCTGGTTTAAGCAATGTAAAAACTATAAAATCTTTCCTGGAATAAGTTCAAAACAGGTATCGCCAGTTAAGTAGAATTTTTGTATTAAGCTAGAATTTTAGTAGGAAAATGATGGATATTGCTTGTGCAAATTATATTAATAATATAAAACAGTACAAAAAATTTTTATTTTTGGCAAAAGTTACAAATATGGTTTTAATCAACACGTGCACAGTCAACATGGTACTAACCTTGTTGACTCAATTAAATGTACTACAAATGTCATACTTGACAAGTAAGACATTTTATCTTTTTTTATCCGGATATTGAACTTTTCTAAAGTTCTATAAGTGTTTATGAAGAAAAAACAAGTCTTGCCGTTTACAATAAATAGTATTCAAGATCTTACTTTAAAAAATCAAATAAAAAACTCCATGACAATGGATATGTGCTGAGGAAGTATAGAAAATAGTAATTAAAAAAAACAAAAATTTGGCTGTAAAAACGATTTTTCCTTATACCTTATTAACGCATATGCCTGTGTTATACCAGGTTTTTCTTGATTTTATTTTTTTAAATCTTGAACACCATTTAATGTAGAATGGCAAGGCTTATTTTTTCTTCAGAAACACTTATAGAACTTTAGAAAAGTTCAATATCCGGTACACCTCTAATTTTGATAAGCAGAAATAGCTTCTTTTATATCCTTTTTTGTCCACAAACCGTATCTCCGTTTTAACATGTTGAAACTCATATATTTTTATATAAACTTTATTTTTATATTCTTCACGCGTATTTTGAGCATTCAAAATAGCAACGATGTTACATTTTAAGACCTAAAGTGAGGTAAAAATTACGTTATTAGTCTCACTTTGAGTTTATAAAGAAATTAAACCACCGATTGTACTGTACCTTAATATCTGGGAAGTTAATTTAAATTCACAAAAATAGTGATTTCACATAAATATGATAAAAAAAATATATATATATTTAATACGTTTAAAGTAATACTCATAGCATTGAACCCCAAAATAAAAAAGTTTTGGTAACATATCAACTTGGGATAACTGTTCCAAGAATCCAGTTTCATTACACAAAAAACATTTGATTTTTTAGTTCAATCTAGCAAAGATAAAATTTTAGTCAAAAGATTTTTAGCGGGTTTAAAAATTTAAATAACAGCAAAAGTACAATTTAGACGCCGATACAATATCGGTAACCTTACCATTAGTTAATAACTCACATCGTAGACTTTATGTCATGAATTTCACATTTTTGAAAACATATGCAGGAAATTAATTGGTAACTATTGACGCTTATGATTTTTTTTATCCACGTTTTAACAATATGACAAAATAAAAAAAAAACATAAATTTTCTAAAATTACCCATAACCCTTGAATGACGAAAAGACATTTATAATCATAAAAGAAAAAACTGAAGCTCACTAAAAAAAATTTTTAAATCAACCTTTAATAACGAAACGAAATATGAAAATTACAAGAAATACTTTGAAAAAATAAAAAAGCAATAAAAAATGTCTGTTATAGTTTACTGTATAAAGCGTTAGAAAATGCTAGACTTGGACAATAATAAATATACAGTATCGGACAAAACAAGTACAACCAAATAATGTCAATTTAGTTTCTTTATGTAAAAGTGCTGCATTTTTTCAATTTAGAGAAATAACTATGTAACTGTTTAGAGACAACGTTCTTCAAGTTTTATTCATCACAAAGTTCATTATTTGTATACGAAAATTAATAAATTAATCAAATGTATTAAAAAAAGTTAATTTCCTTATCGACAAAACAAGTGCAACTCCACAAAATGTTGACCAAGCTGTATTTCTCTATCAATATTTTGTGGCGAATCCTTTGTTGTTGATCACAGCCTTGCATCTTCAAGGTATAGATTCAATCAGGTGATCAATGAAATTTTGTGGAATCGCTGCCCAGGCCTTTTGGATTTGTTCAAACAGTTGATCCTTATTACGAACACCTTTACGATTAATTCTGCGGTTGACGATCTCCCACAGGTTCTCGATAGGGGTGAAATCCGGAGATTGAGGCGGCCAATCCATCGCCGATAGGTAGTTGTCTTGAAACCACTGCTTGACTACTTTTGCAGTGTGTTTCGGATCGTTGTCTTGCTGAAAAACCCATTTTATCGGCATATTCCATTCAGTATGAGGTAACATAACATCTTTCAGGATATTGTTATACACGAAACAGTCCATTATTCCATCGATTCGATGTATTGGACCTAGATCGTTAGCAAAAAAACATCCCCAGACCATTACATTGCCTCCACCATGCTTCACGGTTTTATAAATCGAGGCGTTTTCCGGCCGGTCGACGTACACGGCAAATGCCATCGCTCACAATGATGTTGAACTTCGTTTCATCACTAAACAGGACAGTTTGCCATTTCTGCACATTCCATTTAATATGAGATGTAGCAAACAGGAGTCTTTTTTTCTGGCTCTTTAGTGAAATCAGCGGTTTCTGTGCAGGGCGTCGAGAAAACAATCCGGCTTTAACAGCACGTTGTCTGATTGTTCGGTCCGATACAGGCAGCTCTAATCGCTTTCGACTGATGATATCTAGGGATCCTTCTTGATGGATCTGACGATCATAGAATCCTTTCTAGAAATGGTGGAACGTGGTCTTCCACCTTTGTTATTTGCTGCCAACTTCCCCGTAGAACGATATTTGGAACATAATTTTGATACGGTCCATTTTTTCACGGTATATTTATCATAAATACTTTTTTGCGACATTCCACACGTAATCGCTAATAATTTTCTTTCTTAGTTCCAATCCAAGACTGTCATGAGCCATTTTTGTACTTGAAGTCATAAAAATAATAAAAATAAATAATCACGTTTCTCAAGGCTTACCGAATTACATTTACCTTGTGATGATACAATAATACTCTGTGGAACACAACGTCTGGATACTTCCTTTAATTATTAAAAAACTTCCGTGACGTTGACACGGACCAGACTAAAGAAAATGAAACAAACCAAAAAAGTTCCACTTAGTTTGTCCGCTGCAAAATGGCACTTGCCAATGGAATTCTGCCTGTGTGCTGTCACCTGTCAGCTGATTGCTCATGTCATGGCATGCCATGACTCCAGACCCCTGAACTGTTAGCTGTGGTAGTATAGTTTGTTTCGTTTTAAAGACATGTAAAGTTAGGAAAACTTTTTAGCATTGTTCGATGTTGGTTTCAAATGTTTTGTCCAATACTGTATATTATATATAATAAATGTATAATAATAAATGAATTAATAGGGAGAAAAAAAACTAGATCTAACAACCTCCCCGAATGAATTCAAACTGAGAAAAATGGCAACATTTTTTATAATAAAAAAATTGCTAAAAAACTTTAACATTATTTGATAAACATTGGGAAAAAATTAGTCAGTAAAATCTCTTGAAGTAACAAATCATTACAGTTTTTTATTTTTGAAAAACTCAGATTGTGAAATAGATAGATGAGATTGTGAAATAGATTAGAACTTTCGATGAGTTTCGTTTACCTAATATAAAAAGCTTCCCATTCAATAAAGGTCCAGGTCTTGATGATGTTCAAATGTTATAAAAGCTGTCTTTGATATTATTGAATCACTACATTTGGTTATTTTTAAACTTTTCTTTAAAAATGGGGTCTTTCCTGATCAAATAAAATTTGAAAAAATAATTTCTATTTATAAAAACATCAATGACTCTATAGAAACTAACTACAGACATATCTCAATACTTTCCTGTTTTCAAAGATTCTTAAGCGTGTAATTACTATAGAATATGCAACTACCTTTTAAAAAATATTCATACTTTATATCATAGTATTGGTTTTGGAAAAAAACATTGAACTGAGCGAGCAATCGTTGATATGACCAGCAATATTTTGAAAAGATTTGATGACAACAACTATATTTTGGAAAATACACTGAAAGTTTTTGTAGATTTATAAAAGGCATTTGATAATATTGATCGCAAAATTTTTCTTTATAAATTATTTAACTACGGAATTTTGAAGTCCAATTTAAAATGGTTTCAGTATAATCTTTAGAATTGTAAACAATGTTTTAGGTATGGCTTAACTATTTCTTAGCTAGAAGTTATAAGTAGTGATGTCTCCCTGGGCGCAATACTTGGCTTTCTGATGTTTCTCATGTTTATAAAAGATATCCATTTACCCTTCAAATTCCTAAATTGTATTTTTTTCCGGATGATACTAATATTTTCTTGATAGTTTCTGGCGATAATTTAAAGTTCATTTTTTCTACTATTAACATTAAACTGATAAATCTCAGCGACTGGTTTAAAGCTAATAAACTTTTCCTAAATAACGATAAAACTAAATATATATAGGATAAATCTACAACACAAATGTTTACTAGGTACATACTTAAGAACCACTTTTTGTAAGAATGAGTCAGTGGAAGTGAACCTATCCAAATTTCTTGAACTTTAAATATACTGCTCAGAATATCAAGAAAACCTGTTGGGAAAAAAATCCGAAATTAATAAAATTTCGAGGCAAGAAGTTGCACAAATTTTTTTTAATATCAGACGTAACCCATAAGCTATAAAAAAATAATTAAAAAATGCGTGAGCGTGCGGTTGGCTAATTGTCACAGTTCAAAAGTACAAAAGCATTCAGATATCTAAATGCTTTTGTACTTTTGAACTATGATTTTAAATTACCATCTTGTATTGTTATTTTAACATGAC